TTTTTCTGGATGGAGCCAGAAACCCAATGAAGTATGAGGTTTATGTGGTGAATAAAATAGAAGCTGCTGTATGGTGTGATGCATGACCAAAAATGCAGTGAGGAAAGGGCTGAAGTGTGAGGGTCAAGTAGGGTGTGTGCATTATACACAATTTGACATTAAAAAGTCTGTGTGAAAGAGTGGGTGTAGAGAATTATTTGAAAGTGAAAAGAGAAGTCAACTTAGAATTATGTGCCAGAAAAAAAGAAAAAAAAAGGGGGGAAAAAAAGGGTGACATATTTCTGACACTTCCTTTTCTTGTTTTTCTCTGAAGGTAAGGATATGTGCTCATTGAGAAAGGTTGTAATCGATAGCTTTTCATATAAGCTTGGACAAACCAGACCTATATTGTTGTTTGAACTATGAAAATTTGTTCATGGGCTTTTAAAAAGCCCATGTATTTCCATCTACACCTGCTTTTAAGTCCCATGTTAAAATAATAGTATTAAAATCAGTTGTGAGATAACTATACTCCAAATTCAGGAAGCGTTGAAGAATGCTCAGATGGCAGTCACTGGAAGCATTTCATTAATGAATATGTCACGCTGTGGGGACAGAACTCAAAGTCCTTTTACTTATCGGCACCATTATTTTCTTCTTAATGGGGAGGTAAATGAATACATCAGAATTCTTCCTTTTGAAAAAGTACATGAAAAAAGAAATGAAAAAATTAACTAGTTGCCTTCAGATGTTCTTGGAAGCCAAGTCAGTAATATTTGAGAGAAAATGTAAATGGCAACCTGCTGTGACAGAAGGCAATGCCTGAGAAATTGCATTTCTAGAGCAGGAAAAGCCAGAAATGCTGTGATCTGTGCAAGTGTCAGCTGGGAAAATGATGACTTCTTCACCAGAACCTATCCAAAGAACAAGGTCATGATATGTCTTCCTGATTTACATAATAAACTTTAAGTTCAGACATTGAAATGATAGAATTATTAGAAAATCAGGATTATCTGGACTACAAACAACCACCTCATTACCAATAAGCTCATTTATTTGTTTTACCAAAAAATTAGCTTGTCTTTTTAAATAACAGAAGGCAGAAGCAGTGAAAATTGTGTAACTCAATAGCAAATATTAACATATTGATGGTTAGGTTTATTTTTTTAATGTAGATGTTTTGAATTCTTCCATTCAGTAAGTTTTAAAGGAGATTTTTTCCTTTTTTTTAATTATTATGTTATTATTTTAACAATGCTTAATGTAAATCTCAATCAGGATTTAGCAATTATGTAAATGAACAAGATGTAGTTCTGTTCATAGGAAAAGTTCAAACAATCAATATGTTAAAACTTTGTTACTGCTATTTTTTTTAATTATTCTTTTAAAAAAATACAAACCCCTGTCTTTTTAGGTAACAAACAAAAATTCAAGTGTTCTTAATAAAAATGACATAATTAAATGGGTGGCAGAAAACATATCTGTATGCTATATATACATATGAAATATATATGATACATATGAAACACAGATGTAATGAAAACAGAAGTTGTTGTGCAGATGTGACAGTGAGCATGGCTATAAAAACAACCTTTCAACAAAAGCATGCCAGAATAAATATCCAACACAAATCACAAAACATCACTAATTGCAAAATGCACGCTCTAATATTTAATACAATAAATTTTATTTGACTCCTCTGTCTGTCATGTATTCTGTTATACCTCAGCAGTAAATCAGAGATATATGCAGTGATTTCTTAGCCAAGGACTGATGCTCATTATAAGCAGCATTAGCTAATAAAAATATCATTTTGAGGTATGTCACTCCTGTATTACTTTCAATTCTTTATCAACAACAAAGTCTACTTATAAGTGGCATCATTAACAATATCTTCGCTTGTAACTGGACCAGCTACATATTGCTTGGGTCAACATAAAATCCTTCTCAGAGAATTTCTGTCTGTCAAGCAATTAAGACATTTGATTTTAGTTTGGAGACAAAAGCTGTACAGCTCCAATTTATTTAATTCATACAGCCATAGTGACTGGCAGTTCTAAATAAACACTATTAATAAATCATTAATCTGTAATTAAAGACTAGGCTCTTTCTGGAATATTTGCCAAATGCCTACTTCAGGAAATCTTGCTGGAATGTCTGTCTTCCTCACAACTACAGTGGAGAGAGGAGTGAGTGTTTCAGACAGCTAAATTAAAGCATAAGAAGAACAGCAGCACATTGGTTTTGAGACTATAATACCTCCTGTGTTATTTACAGTAAGCATTCAAAACACCAAATCTCAAAATGCTAAATAAAGAAGGAACAAATTAGTTGCTGATTCAGTTTGGTAATGGAGACCTATGGCAGTGTAGCAAGAAAAGATCCTTACAATCTAACAGGAATAAGGGATGGGGACAAAAATGGAAAATGATGAAAATGAATAGGAAATCTAATGCATTTCTACCTCCCACCTCAGCCTCCAGGTTTCAAACAAGGCCTGAAATGTCATTCATGTAATTACTACCATATCAGGTTGAAAGCAATTTCAACTCAGCTGATTTGATTGTGCACTAATGGCTGCAAAAAGAAGATAAGGAATGTGCACGGTAAAAATAACTGCCCATTAAAATAGCAGCAAATGGGGTCAGCTTATTAGATAACCTTAAATTCCTTGATGGTTCAGGTGTTTTTGTTTTTCTGTTTATTAAAGGTTAATGTCAAATATGAATGTGGAAATAAGCCAATTGAAGCCTTTCCTGTCAACCTTCACCTCCCTTATGTGGCTGTGTGAGTAGCGATTGAGTCTTTTTGAGACAGTTTATTAAATCTCAGGGTGCTGATGATGGAAGGTATCAGTAGCTGTGTTTCTTGCCTGTCAGTGATGGTTGCGAAGGACAACACGTGGCATAACTCCTCTCTTCACCAGAAAGTGACAGTTCACTTGTAATCTGTCAGCAACTGCAATTTAATTCCAGCAAAATAAAGAAAACAGAAACTAACATGTTGGTTACTGCTTCAGCCATAGCCAAGAGTCTAAAATGGCCTTGTTGCCAACAATTGACCTGGCAGAAAATCGGTTAGTGTTGCTGACAGGAGAGAGCCTGGAGCCACCAGCCTCTGTAGAACAGCTCTTTCCTTCATATATTTCTGCATTTTAGAGAATATCTCTGTTTATTGTTTTTCTGTCTTCTCTCATGTACATCTTTCCTTACCTCTACTATATAAAACATAAGACTTGTGTTTTACCCTACAGAAGTTCATCCCTCACATTTGCTTTCTAAACTACTGCTTACATTCATGTTGGGAATGAATTTGCAAAACCCGCTGTCACTCTCTAATGGCTCCCTGTCTCTGGGCTACAGTCCCCCACATATTGTTTGGTCTGTCTTGGCTATGTCTTGTCTCTCCTTCAACTTTGCTGGGCCTAAATAGATAAAATTAAAATACTTTGTCAGAATTTCTTTTTAATTATTTATGAATACTTTCTGCTGGCCTGCTCACTGAGAGTATCTGGATGTTGGTCAAACAGGAAAAACAGGCAAGAAGGGAAGCAAGTTTGGGACAGATCTCATCCAGCCAGTAAATACTTCTAAGAGAAAAATCCGAACAAAAAAAAACAGTGACCAATGACACATGAAGGTCAAAATGACTATAAAAAAACATTTTGAAAGCCCTCTCAGGTAGTAGAGAAAGGCTTTGAAAAGTTGCTCTGCCAAACCAGACCTGCTGAGCAAGCTGGAGTGGTGATCCTGGGGAAAATAGGCTATTGCCTTAAAGCTCCTTTCCTCTTATGTTTTGCTCCTACTTAAATAAATAAGTAAAGAGAATAGGTATGGAAGATATGGTACTCCTCGGACTAATTGATTTGTGAGGTTCTTCCACGGGAGTTACAAAGACAAAACCTTCCACTATTTCTTAATCAAAGCCAGGCTGTAAGGAACCTGTATGTGCCTTGATAAGGTATGAACTAGAAAACCAAGCAGGATGCATGATATTGAGCAGCTTGACTTCAGGGGCTGGGGGGAGAGGTGGCCAAAAGGAAAACACTATAAAAAGGAACTGAAAAGCATTCAATAGTAGAGATTTCTTTTAACACCATCCCTCCACCCACATCCCCCAGCCCCCCTGGATTCGATGGGCTATTTTTGAAAAAAGCCTATTACCTATTTGTTTGCATGTCTCTAACGAAACATCACTGATGGAGCACCTGATTTTAGTTACATACATGTACAGAAGAAAGAATAATTTCTTTGAATCACTACAATTGCTTCTTAGTTCTCTCTGACTGTATACTACCCTTGCAACCGTTATTCCTGGCAATGATAATAATAGTAACTCCCACAACAAAATTGAAATGTTATCAATTTCATCCTATATTCTGTAATCTGAATAGTGCATAGAAGCAATTTCACTTCTTATTTAATTTGCATAAAACAGCAAAGAGGTATTTCTAAAACCTTTCTCTCCCTAAACTCATTTATGAATAAACATATAAAACCCCCCTTGATATGAATACTAAACACCTGTTCTCTAGTAATGCTATTAGGTCAGGTAGCAACTAGAGTATTGGCACTGTCACAAAGTGTGCCAGAACATGTTTAAAACATTGTGCTCTTAGCTTCATATATAAACTATGCATTTGGCAAAAAAAAAGCTACTAGTGTTCTTCATTCTCCAACTATGATATTTGGTAGAATAAGCTCTAATTTACTGATTAGTAATTTCACAGTGAATAAGTGGGTGAGTCTGGTAAAATTTTCAATTAAAAAAGCTTTCCTCTTTTTATTTACGAGAATATTACTTTTTGTTTTGATAGAGAGTCTTTTAACTTGAATGAATTACTGTCCACAGAAATGGCTGAGCAGGGAATTCATAATTGGCTACACAGTCAATTGTTTACTTTGAGGGTTCAGTAAGAACTGTCTGTGAAAATGAAATCTAGCAAAATAATGAAACCACAAACTAGGCATGTCACATCTTAATAAACAATGAAGTCTAATTATGAAAGAATCTGTACTTACTTGCCAAGTGCAAAACACTCCATCTTAACAGTAGTTCCCCTCGCAGCTGTAACTGTGTAAGGAAAATGCACTTCAATTTTTGGCTCATATTCCCCCATCACACCTGGAAAATAAGGAATATTTAAAATATGAAATAGCATCAGTTTTCCATTTGTTGAGATTATCACAGAAAACCCCTGCAGCTTGCCTTTTGAACCTGCCCGGCAGTAATGATAGTAATTTATGGAGATAGCCTTGTTTGATCTGATATGCTCTGCTCAGGTCCAGTACATATTCTAAAATGCTCTTCAGGGTTACCAGCAGCATAACAGTGAGCTTAAGAAAAAGGATTTATTTTCTCAAATGTGGGTTAATACTTACCTTTTCAAAGATTAAAGCAAGCAAGCAATTTTAACAGGGTGAGAATTTTCACAGGCCAAAGATTTGTTTACCAATACAGTGACAATTATGACAAAACAACATATCATGCTGTATTCGACTGAGGACCTTCTAAGCTCAGCAAGAAAAACTGATATAATGTAAGAGCATTTGTGTATGCAGATACAAACAGAGATATGCATACACATACAAAGTTCAGTTATTTCATTTCCAGTGACCCTTCTAATTTGGGAGATGATTGATTTTATCAGGACAACAAACTCAGTATACAACTAGAAAAACATTCAGGAATGTGAAAAATATAAACACTGAAATCAATAGAGTTATCTGGAATTTGCTGCGGAGTGACTGACAGCTTTGGAGAGTCACAAGAGTTTAGGAAATGAGAAATGAGCAGGGAAGGGAGACTGGTTTTCACAAGGCGAGATGAGAGGTTTGCATTTGATGTGACTTAGAGGAAATGTCATAATCAGAATGGCAGGAGAAGAATATGACTCTAACAGCTGTGTTTGGTGAGACAGAAGATGGGCTACTGGGGTAAGTGATGCTCAGGAACTAAAGGCTTTATTAAACAAAGTAAGAATTGTTCAGATTTTTCAATGGGGAAAACTGAATATAATCTGACTTGTGGACACAGTAGTAACAAGACAAGTCTAGTCTAAATCTATAAAAATCAGTCAAGAGTCTCCAAAAATTCTAGAGCAAGAAAATAGGAACAAGAGAGGAAAAAGAAAGGAGAGAAAAGAGATATCTTATGCAAGAAAGAGAAACGAAAGGAGCATAAGGAGTGACATGGAAGTAGGGGATATGAGATTTGCAGCTGAGAGAAGACCAGCTGGCACGGATACATGGAAAAAGCATCTCACAACCTAGCAGAGCAAAAATAATATACAAGGCTGAAATGGTAAAACATATACTTCTAGCCCTTCAAAGGTTCCTCACGGAACTCAGGAGTCTCCAGTGGGGCTGTGCTCTCTTCCTCCTGCTGTCCCACAGGCTTCTGCAGCTTGGTTCTGGGAGGAAATCTAAACACATATGCATTTAAACATGTCCTTAGGGGCTTAAGTTTAGTTAGAAAATCTAAATGTGTCCGATATGTGAATGAAATAACAGAAGTAGAAAGCATAAAATGCTTTTAATTCAAACAATATAATTCTATAAATAAAGTGGCTTTATAAGTAACAGTAATTTCTTTTTTTAAAAAACATAATCATGAAGTATTACATATACTAGCAAGTGACCCATTTTTCTTCAAAAACATGACTAAATCAGTGTTTTGACATTGCTTTATGAACTTGTGGAGAAATACTGCCCCTTGTATGAAACCTGGCCACTGTTGTTAGGGATAATAAGAAAAGTTTTTATAAATATGTTAACAGCAAAAAGAGAGCCAGGGAGAACCTCCATCCTCCGGTGGATGCAAGGGGGAACGTTGCCACTAAAGATGAGGAAAAGGCTGAGATACTCAACGCCTTCTTTGCCTCGGTCTTTAATGGCCTGATGAGTTATCCCCAGGGTACCCAGCCTCCCGGGCTGGAAGATGAGAAAGCAGTCTTTGACCGGCTATTGCACCTGGACATCCACAAGTCTATGGGGCCGGATGGGATCCACCCAAGAGTGCTGAAGGAGCTGGCAGAGGAGCTT